GACTCAAAACAATGCCGACGCCAGCTTGACCGGCATTTGAAGCTGCATCATCGCCAGACAGGCGCAATGAGAATGTGCCGCCAGTGTCGCATGTGGGGGATCTCAGGGTAGGTACGGAGCTCGAATCTTGCAGGCGGGTTTCTGATAAACAGCAAATATCGATCGATAGGGTCTCTAGTGTGCGGGCAAGTGCTGCCTGTTGGCCAATCTGCAGCAAAGTGCGCACGTTGAAGCATGCCAGTCTTAGCGAGACGCGAGGACTCCAAAGGGAAACGGATGAACTGACGTTGTCCGCTTGCTTGAACATGGACTTGTCAACTGGATTGGAGCGAGGCCCTGGGATTGTGTGTGATTTGAATTTAGAAGACAAGCGACTACTGAAGAAAGCTGGGGGAGGGCCAAGAATTGGGGGATTGAAAATGGGGGGGATATAAGTAAAGTTGGAGCGGGACGATAAGGATGAAGAAGCGCAAGAAGGGGTATAAGAAGACGGGAAGGCCTGAGCAGTAGCATCCATACCCCTATCCACCCTGCTCGATGCAGCAGATAGGGCGCCGTTGATTATCCTCTGCGACGGCCAGAGCATCAAGAAATTGTTGTAGGAAGGTTCATTGTATTGCGTGGGCAGAATACTGTCAGGTTGCCCAGGCCTAGACAGGAGAACGATTAGGGTTCTCAACCAAAGCCTTTGGTTTAAAAACCTTACCGCAAGGCAGCGGGTTATGGCACTGGACTGAGAAGCCCGTTTTATGAAATGAGGAGCCACCCCCATTCCAACCCCCAACCTGGAGGACCAGGAGGCTGAGTTTGTCTGGCCTCTAACCATTGACCAATCTGGTATGAGTGGCTCTGAAGGTGCAAAAGCACCACCCAGCATAGCTCAATGGATCTCTGAGGCACGCAAAACATTGCACCACGGTAAGGTCCAGCCTCATTGCGATGGAAAGAGAGAGACAGGAAAGAGAGACGCACGAAGGAACAACACGATCTGGAACGCTCTGTGCTACTATGCAATCTGACCGAAAATCAAGAATCAATGACCCACATGAAAAACGATTAGCGGCCGACCGAAAAACGGTCGGCTTAAAACTAAAAGCAAATTTGACATCCACCAGCACACTTCTAACATATAAGGCACTCATTTGTTTTTATACTAATGCACAAGGCCTTCTCAGCAAACTGATAGATCTTCGGCTACGCCATGCACAATGTTGCAGGACCTCATCATGGTAACCGAGACATGGTTGAGTGAATTGATCACGGGCACCGAAATCGTACTATCCGGAATGTCCGTGCTGCGCCACATTCGGCCGAATAGAGGAGGCGGTGTACTAATCTGTTACCGCAGTGAGCAACATATTGATCTAATCGATGAACCAGATTGTCGATGCGCTTTGGTGTCGTCTTCACCGAAAACGGCGTGACATATTTAGTGATCATCGTGTACCGCGCTCCATCGTGCACTTCAGAAATGGACAATCGCCTAGCTTCCACTATGAAAATTATCCTCGCACAGGCATACAGTCAGGTCCACCTGATTGGTGACTTCAATCTTCACGCTCTAGAAACCAAGACTGTTTCGATGAGGAATTCAAAACGGAATTGCAGGAACTCATCATTGGATTGCCACTATGCAATCATGTTGCCCTTCCAAAAAGATTCAAAATTGTGAACAAACATAGTACCCTCCATCTCGTGGAGAAGCTTATGATCGAAACGGTATCGATAGCTAGTCCTTTGGGCCGTAACGATCATGCAACACACTTGTTCAACTAAATCTGTTATGTAGAGTATTCCGCAGACAAGGTCGATGACTCTAAGATTATTACCGCTTGCGCTGTTCTGAACACACACTCATTAATGCAACTGACTGGTCTTTTCTAGTTGAACAATTCCCCGATGTCGCGTGGTGGAATTTTATGCATCAATTCAACAATTTATTAGCCAGTGGTTCGAGAAACATGTCCTCACGCGCGATGTGTAAAGCCATTCATACGCAGTACAACGCGTAAGTGCATGATCACAATTCACTCCGGCGAAAATACAAGAGGTCACCGGGTGCCGAAATATGGGAAGCCTACACTATCCAGCGAAATCATTGGGTGAACCTGGTACGCGAGAGTAAGCTAAAACATTAACAAGATCAAGCTGATAAGTTATCCTTAAACCCCAAGCTCCTTTAGAGGTATGTTGAGAAACTGCATAAAGTGCAGCGAGGTATTCATGCCCTTCACACGCCAAATGGACAAGCATAAACTAGAACGGAAGCGCCAACGCCCTACGTCATCAATTCCAAATTTCCAGAATACGGCTTCATCACCTATGCTGTTCAAGCAAGTTATATCACCACCAGCACTTAGTCATATCTTGTTTACGGCTAAGCCTGCTCCTGATCTATATGTACGATTTTGCAAGAGTGATCACTTCCAATTTCCTACATTTCACTGACGATCTCAAGATACGACGAGCCATCAAAGCAACGAATGACCACGCAGCACTTCAGAATGACCTTGATAGCCTGTTCCTCTCTCTTCCTTTTTCTCCGAGGTAGTGAACTTCTTAGAGATCCGGGAGTGGACTGAGGAATCGCCTGAGAGGACGAAATAGGCAACAAGGACTTACCTGGACCATGGCTTCAAATAAAAACTATCCAACTGCACCCAAAAACTCAAAGACTGATGTCCAGTGAGGATAGCTGGGCACGAATGCTTCACACTGCAGAAAGTATACAAAACCGGAGAAAGTCAGACCCCAGATGCTCTGGAAATGTTACCTGCACAATTATTCATCCTACTCGACTGGCCTCAACGTCTACGGCGGGCCCAGATTGAGACAACATAGGAGTAATTCGACTGCGAATAACTGAGTGAACAAATGGTTGAGAAAAAGCTTTGCCAGTTGTAAATGACCATTCAAAAGAATCGACGACAGTGTTCCAGGACGTGGTGGGTTTCCACCTGGCAAGCGTTCTTCCTATAAAAAGCCACAAAAGGTAGTTTATCAACACTGCGACGTGGCGGATGTGACCTGCCACTGAATAGTCACTGCCCATAGTTACACTCTGGCATATTGACTAGTCATATTTCACTATTTTCCTGACATGTACAAAAATGACTCAGTCTTCACATACTGTCATCACTTCATCTGCTTATCCTACGCACAGATGAATGCAGTTTATCGTCACCCCACTGACGGCTTTGCTCCTCATGAGCATTTCTACGTTTCTGCAACTTGTACGAATTTTGGCCACAGCCAATTACGTGCATTGTAACGTAACTGTTGCGGAACATAATTGGTTGTAAATTTTGATCATGCCTGATTTGGTGTGCCTGGATTAATTCGAGAGTAAAATATTTATTTATACGAATGACCGACTCAGCATCTGCTTCACTTTAACGCCACCAAGTGTAGGACATTTAGCATACGCCAGCAATCCACTCGCGAGTACAGGCTGGGGATCAAGTTTTGCAGCGTGCTACTACTGAATGTGATGTAGATGTGATATTACAAGAGGATTTTGACCGTTCCCGTCAGGCCGAGAAGGCGTCCACAAAAGTCCACCAACACGTTGCCCTTTTGCGGAGAGCGTTCGGACCCTTCAATCTTCTCTCAGATGCTCAATGCCTACATTAGGCCCCATTCAGAATACGCTATTCACACCTGGCAGCTCTGGCATAAGCACGACTTCACAGCACTTGAACTGCCACAACAAAGGGTGACCAAGAACGTAAAATGTCTGTTTCATCTCCTTTGCCAACTGAGGTTGAAAATCCTTGGGGTTTACAGTGGACAATATCGACGGCTGTGTGGCTATTTGATAATGACGTAGTTGGTCTTAAGAAATTCAGACCACGCTTGTAGCCATCTGAAGCTGAATCACGATACTCCTCGGAGACGACATCAGTTAAAACTGACCCCCACAGTAGAGCCGTTTGGCTTGTCGCCAGAATTCCTTATCACTTCGCATGTGCTAAACATGGAACACCCTCCTCACTTACGTTGTTTCTTCCCCCACACTGACAGCATTCAAAAAAGTCTAAACGATGCACTCATACGTTTACAATACGCCACTACAAGTCAAAGTGCGCATATTCCCCTTCAGCACATAATTTGTTAAACGCTACCACTGGATTTACGTATCACATCGACCCATGGAAACCGCACACGAGTAGGCGTCCACCTTTCCCTTATTCATTTATTTTTCTCACGTATTAAGTGAACTAGAACCACTCCACATATTGCTTTGTGTGCGCACATTCAATTATCATTTTAAACTATCGTTATACAGCGTTGCAGTTAAATCTATGGTCGTTTAAATCGACGACCCATCCCTTGATCTATTTTTCTCACTATAACCACCCGGCGGGAATTGGTAAGCACCTGCTTTTTGGTCCGTGATAAATCACTGTTCATTGACCAGCCACAACAACAAAAGCGCGCCAACCGTCTGTGTAAGCGTGAAGGCTACAAGTACCCACAAATCCCCTAATTCACAAACAGGTCGGGGAGAGAGATACATAACGTAGGTTCAGTTTCATTGTTTATGACAATTTGCCGTATCTCGTTCAGATCGCCCACCTTTTTGCTGAACACTCTATCCATTCGGGTTGTGGCATCTGTCGCCCGGCGTATTTCTACCTCACCTATACTTATAATACACTGAGCAAGAGCACGAACCGTGGTACAGGCAACTCGGAGGAAAACGATCGTCATGAAATCTAGTGTAGAACAAGAGAAACCACAAGCAAAATAAGTGGTATATTTAATGGGAAAGGTGACAGATTTCTGAAGCGGAAAAGATTACGATGCAGAAGGCAAAGAAGGTGGATAAAGGGTTTTCAATACATGAATAGAAAAGGACAAATTTGAAGGTTAGATTGACAACACGAGCAGAATTAAAATATTATATAGTTTGACAAAAGCCCGAAGTCGAAAGTACTGTGAAGCCACAACATCGTGAAAATGGTTAACTGTTTCGCCATTCCCAGTCATAGGTGTAATCACAAACAGTCGAACAACGGGCGTTCCACGCCTGAATGGAATCAAAATGTTAAAGACATTTACTTATGCTTACTAGAGCTGACTATGAGAGACGGTTTCTAATGGCGTCACACACAATTCTCCACTTCGCTTCACTATCAACAAAGCCCTGACCATTCTGTTTCGGAAAAAAATTAAAAATGCAGATAACGAACCTTTTTGGAATGCACGAGTTGTTGACCATCAATTGTGACTTCGAACCACCCAGTGCTCTGCGGTGTCCCTTCGCCAGTCTAACAAACGGTAAAATGAACAGAGTAGCACTTACGACTTGCACTTGGCCGGGAAGACGCCGCTCAAGCTCCCTTTTGAAGGCTTTGAACTAATAAACAGTAGGGTACATCGGAGTAAAGATTACATGATAACATACATAAGCGACATCTGGTGTCGGAAATACTGAATAGTCTAGTTAGACAGGCGTACGAAAACAAAGCTCCAAGCAAACGAGCCGCGAATAATCCGAATGTGAACTGATGTGAAGGTACTAGGAACCACATAATGAACAGCAGTCAATTGGACTGATGCATCACCATGGTGACCTAAGGAATGAAGAAAGAGGAAGAAAACCTAGCGCTAAATATTAATGGCCTAAGCAAACATTCAGCATCAAGACGCCAACATATTGTCAACAACATAGCGGCACAAACAAATGGCAACCGTGCAAGCATGATGCGGCATCGGCGAGAGAGCTTCCTTGCGGCTTTTACTGCCCCGCGTAATAATCAGCCATTACCCCGCAGGTAACACAGCACCAATCACTTCAAACATGCATTCCGAATAGGAGACGACAGCAAACGCGCCCCTGGACATCGTGATTACACACGCAAGCTAGTGAAAAAATACCTCAGTTATTGTGCCGTGTAAGGGTCTATGGAAAGCTGTCTCCTGAGTTATGCACAAGCGGGGTTCGCCAGGGTTGTCTTATAAATCATTTCCTCTTTAACTTTGTGATCGAGCTGGTCACATAGTGAAAGAAACCGCAATGTTGTGACATAAAAGCATGGAAAAATCAACTGAGAGACTTGGTCAGGTTGGGGTGTGTCGTCGTCGTGGATGGGAGCCTCGGGATAGTCGACATTAATGTTTGGAGAATATTGGACATGACGCAATCGTGTTGTTAGTCGCGTTCCTGCACTCGGTTTCTTGCATCTCGCTGTTGAGCTTCACTTCATCCCGATTAATTTTACGCATGTCTTCCCTGATTTTACTTTCTCTGTGCCCCCTTCTAAATTCAACCTCATCTCCTTAATGTTATTTCAGTTTTCAATTCAGTTGAACAAGCATGATCCGAGCATCGAAGTGCAGTGGATCCAGTTGCCACTACTCACATCGCAAGAATAATAACCAACAACCGAAGGACACTGAATTTAAGTGCAAATATAATCTACAGAAAATAGAAGCAAGCAAGAAATGCGTTAGACTAGTCAGATTGGAGCGAAAATTAACAACCAGATGAAAGGAAACGAATGCAGAAACGCAACTGACTGCGTGACTGCGCCGTGTCTGATACAGTCTCCGACCATTGGTGTGGAGCATCCCTAGGCCCTACATCCAAGGAAACGGCACGTCCCAGCTTGACCCAGTCTCAATCAATTTCTTCATCCCACTATGCCACATCACGAAGTGGCAACCTCGCGGTTCCGCCCAACTTGGTGCAGCCACGGCGTACAATGCACACTGAGGAAGCCGGTCAACGGGCATACGGAGCACATGGTCTATCTAACGCAAGCGACTAAGATTTAGCAAACACTCCAGTGAGGCACCAGAAGGCTTCTTGCCAAAAACCAACCGGCGGACCTCAGCATTGCTTACCCGGTGTTCCCACCAGACATGAGCGGTACTCCGCAAGCACCGGTGGTCAAACACGCCCAAGCGTTTAAGGTTTCTGCCGCGAATTGGTCAGGTTTCTAAGCAATACAGTAACACAGGCCTTATCGAAGCGTTATACACCCTACCTTTCACTGACAAGCTAATATCCCACCGTCTCCATAGATGGTTGCGCCTTTGGAAAGCCACACGGGCGTTGCTGATACGCGAAGTAACTTCCTCAGTGATGTGATCACCAGAGGTGGCACAACAACCAAGTTAAGTAAACCGAGCCACCACCTCCAGTGGCTGTTCGGAAATAGCTCAGGTCAGTCCTGCAACAGCACTTTGCACTTTGAAAATGCAAGTTACATGCACGCACAAGCATGTGCAGTAATGTTTGCATAGTCAATGCATCAGACCTAAGGAGAACTATGTCGTTCGCATACTCCAGGTTTACTAATCGGTTACCTGGCAGAACTTGCATTCCAGTAAAATCTGAAAGAACCGAATCACTCAAGATCATTTCGATAACAAAGTTGAAGAGGAAAGGAGATATAGGATAATCCTGGAGAACTCATGAGACAGTTTATGGTAGACCTTTACAAGGCCTCAGGAAACACGGTAGAGAAACGGTAAAATGGAAAGGAAATTAGCTGGCACCCCATTCATGAAAAAGCAGTGCCACAGCTATCTCGATCAACAGTCGACAACGGCTTTCAAGTCAAAGAAAATTACCACAGTCGGTGGTCTGTATCCCTTTTTGTTACTATTTTTTATTATTAGTAGTATTAGTGGTATTATATTACCGAGTGTGAGACGATGTAAGTAGGTGCACTGAGCCTGGGTGTAGTGAGGAGCGTATTACCATAAAATAAGTCGCCAGTACCAAATAAACAGGGTTATCAGACTTCGCTCAGCTATCTTGCGAGGGAGTTCCCTTCTAAAAATTCCACTTGCAAATATATATATATATATATATATATATATATATATATATATGTATAATGGAGAACGCCAACCATGTAGTTGCATTAATTGTGTATCACCGCAGTTAAGCTAGAATGACTTAAGTTTTTCGGCGATACACTAAATCTGAACGAATGCATTTTATTTCATTAAAAGGTCTATTTATCTTCCGCATATTCCCTATTTACTACGCGCGCTTTTTCGTTCATTTTGATGGTAGTCGGTTAATATCCCGTTTTATACTTGCAATTGCCCAAGATCACTTTAACAATAGATGGGTATTCGCACATTTCTTCAAGTGCTCAGTTCTGTCACTTATTTATTATACAGTTTGCATGTTTACGTGTTTTCACATTCCTTCGTATACAAAATGGCGCCCATGTTGAGGTTGATGTTACACTAACATCAAACTTCGTCGCAGCAGGGCTATCATCATCAACAGCAGCACATCAGCCATTTGAACTGATGCTTCGCTGCCATACAACCATGAGGACCTATGAAATAAAGAATAAGAAGAGGGAGAGAAGGGGGACTTACCTGAAAACCTTAATGCCCTAAGCAAACATTCAGGGGCAAGGCGCCTATCCCTTGTGTAGACAATATACCGTCACAAACAGATGGCTATCGTGCAAAGATAAGGCGGCATCGGCGAGACAGCTTCCTTGCGGCTTTCACTGCCACGCGTCATAATCAGCCATTACCCCGCAGATAACTCAGCACCACACGGTAAACAGGCAATCAGATTAGGAGACGGCAGCAGACGCGCCACTGGTGTCTACTGCGAGCCATGTCCTGTAAAGTCTTGAGCCAAGCACAAGGCGAGTCACGTGGACTCCAGCCCGGAAGGCGAGATGGACCAACGGCACCCAGTTTGGTCGTCAGTGACTTCATTTCCCGCTGCCAAGTCAACTTCTGTCCACCTCGAACCTTGCGCCACCCTACACCTGGCAGACTAAACAAGGCCCTCCTAGGTAAGCGGTGACCAGGCATACGTAGCACGTGCCCGAGCCAACGCAACTTATTCAGTGCTATCTGTTGTTCTAGGGAGATAGCATGATTATCACCACCTAGTACTCGCCTACGCACATCACCGTTGCAGTCACGCTGGTGTCATTCGACACCAGCAATGCTTCGCAGACAACGATGATCAAAGAGTTGAAGGCGCCTCAGATCTTCAGACCGAAGGGGCCAAGTCTCACTACCATAGAGCAGAACGGCCCTCACTGTGGCCTTGTATACACGGCCTTTCAGACGGAGGGAAACTCCCTTCCGTCGCCAAAGATGCCGCAGGTTCAAGAAGGCAGCTCTGGCCTTTGCAATGCGTGAACTGAAGTCAGTTTCTATGCGCCCATCATTGCTGATGCAGCTGCCAAGATAAGTGAAATGATCAACCACCTCGAGTTCCTCGTTAGCAACGATCAAGGTGTCATCAAGTGGCTGGTGGTCCTGCAGCAACACTTTGCACTTTGAAGGTACAAAACGCATACCAAATAATGGGACCACTCTAGACAGGCTATTCAGGGTCGATTGTGCCACCGCAACATCGTCGAAAAGCAAAACGATATCGTCCGCATAATCTAGATCAACTAACTTTCACCAGGCAGCATTTCAAAGCCTACATCGTGAGACTCCACAAGGGAACACTCTATGATAGAATCCACGACGAAATTGAACAGAAATGGGGAAATCGGACAACCCTTACGAACGCCACTTGTGGTCGGAAAGCTATCCGATAGGACACCGTAGACCCTGACGCGACTTGTAGTGTTTAAGTATAGAGCATGTAGGATATTCACATATTTTGTGGGAACACCTTTCCGCGCAAATATTTCGAACAGAATCGATCGATCGACTGAATCGAACACACTCTTGAAATCGAGGAACACAGCTATTGTCGATCTGTGGTATGCGTGGCGCTGCTCCAGCACCTGCCGCAAAGTGAATATATGGTCTATACAGCCAGGTCCTGGGCGGAAACCGGCCTGCTCTTCCCTAATCCGAGATTCCCGTTCCGCAGTGAAGCGACGAATGATAATCGAGGCAAGTAATTTTGTCACAACTGGCGTTAGGCTAATACCCCTGTGGTTAGAACAGTCTGTATAACTGCCTTCCTTGTATATTGCCACTATAATCGATTCGCTCCAATTAGCCGGGACACTTCTTTCCAGATACGTTCGAATAGGGAGGTCAGTGCTTTGCAGAGGACTTCACCTCCATCCTTAAATAGTGCAGGTGGGAGGGAATCCGGACCAGCGGCACGAAAACGATTAAGGGCTGTGATCGCGTTTCGGACCACGGCCTCCGACGGAGGCTCTAAACTAACCGTCCATGGCTCGTCCTGCATCACCTGAGTAGGAAGAGGTCCGGGAGCAGGGGGCCAGTTGAACTGATCCAGAAAGTGCTCCGCCCAACGAGCCATACGGCGCTCCTTATTGTGTATCAGCGCACCCGCGCTGTCTCTGATTGTCTCACTGACGCCTGGTTTTCTGGGACCAGTGGTGCGGATTAGCTGGAAGAGCTTGTGGTAATTGCCTACTGCTCTTGCCT